CTGGAAAAGTTAATTGGGAGTCTTCAGTTAAGTTCATGAGATTAAGTATTTAAGATCATGAGACTGGGGCTGGGGTTGTGGCTCAGTGGTAGAGTGCTTGCCTAGCACATGTGAGGCACTGGGTTCAAACCTCAGCACCACATAAAAATGAAATAAAGATATTGTGTCTACCTACAACTAAAAAATAACTATTTTTAAAAAAGATCATGAGATTGAGTAAAGTCACCAGGAAAATAAAGTAATAAAATAAAAAAAGTCCCAGGACTGAGGTCTGAAGAATTCTAGCATGGAAAACGTAGAGGGAGAAGGAGGAATCAGCAAAGGAGACAGAGGGTGGCCCCTGAGGTAGGAGAAAAGCTAGGAAAGTGTCACTCCAAAGGAGTGTTTCGGAGAAGCAGCCTTGTGTATGAAAGTTCCTCAGAAAATTAAAAATAGGTCTACCATCTGATCCAACAGTCCCACTTCTGGATGTGTTGGAAAGACACCTGCATACCCATGTTCATTGCAGCACTATTCACAGTAGCCAAGATATAGAAGTAACCAAAGCGTCCCTCAGCAGTTGAATGGAAAAGGAAAATACAGTATACACACACAGTCGAATATTATTCAGCCTTCAAAAGAAAGAAACTCTTTGTACAACAATATGAATGATTCTGGGGATATTACACTGAATGAAATAAGCCAGGCACAGAAAGACAAATACCACACATGTATCTCACTTACATGTAGAGTCTAAAAAAGTTGGTTCCATAGAAATAAAGAGTTGAATAGTGGACTGGGGCTTGTAAGAAGGGGCTGGAGAAATGTTGGCCAAAGTGTACAGTTACGATGAGTAAGTTCAAAAAATTCACATACAACATGATCACCCTAGTTAATAACAATATGTTGAATACATTAAAAATCGCTAGGAGAGGGACTGAGGTTGTGGCTCAGTAGTAGAGTGCTTGCCTAGCACATGTGAGGCACTGGGTTCGATCCTAGCACCACATAAAAAATTAATTAATTAATTAAAGGTATTGTGTCCATCTACAACTAAAAAATAAAATATTTTTAAAATATAGCTAGGAGAGATTTCAAGTGTTTCACCACAAAAATTAGTAAGTATATGAGGGAATACATGTACTCGACATAGCCATTTCCCAATGCTGCAGTGAATTCAGGAGTACAGATATCTCTTGGACATAACAGATTTCATTTCCTTTGCATATATACCCAGAAGTAGGATTGCTGGATCACATGCTAATTTTTTTTGGAGGAAATTCCATACTGTTCTCCAGAATTTACATTCCTACCAACAATGTACAAAGGGTTCCGTTTTCTCCATATCTTTGCCAGCACTCATCTTTCATCTTTTTTTATCATAGCCATTCTAACAGGTGGGAGGTGATACCACATTGTGGTTTTAGTTTGTATTTCCTTGTGTATTAGTGAATTTCTACATACTGTTTAGTTACCCCATTTTTAAAAATCTACTGCATAAATATAACTAAAAAGGAAACAGAAAATTACTTACAGAGCAACCAGCTTAATACTCAACTGTTCTCAATATTGTATGTTCCCTTCTAGTTCGTGTCTCTATGAATATTTACTTTTATATACTTGTGATCAATCACAGCATAATATTGTTTTCACTGGCATTTAAAATATTATATTAAATATTTTTCTTTTTTTTGTATTTGTCTTCCTAGTTAAGAGGTGGAGCTTGCTTTCATTTCAACCTCTTTCAGTTAGCTGGCCAGCTAAGCTCATGAGTGGGAATAAGTGGGGGAATGGGAAGAGAATAAAGGATATAAAGGTGCTGACTGAGCCCGCCACAGTTCCATCTGCCCATTCCTCTTGACACCCTGCTGTCACCTTGCAAGGATATATTTGGTAAGGTAGCATGGCCAGTGTCAGGGGTTTAGAATACATTGTTTAGCAATGAGTCTTAACTCACAGTAAAGATGTTTTTCCTGGACTTATGGTGAGACTACTTAGTAGTAGGCGAGCACTCTACTACTAAGCCACTAATACACAAGGAAATGCAAACTAAAACCACAACTCATTCTAAGTTGAAAATAGGCTAAGTTGAAATGCATTTAACTCACCAAACCTACCAAGATAATAAAGCCTMACAGTTTTAGGTTAGCCAACCTGAAACATGCTGAGAACACTTACATTAGAATAAAGCCAGGCAAAATCATCTAACACAAAGACTATTTTATAGTAAAGTGTTGAATATCACTAATTTATTGAATTCCTTACTAAAAGTGAAAAGCAACTTTTTTTCTGAATGGTTGTATGGATATACTTTCACATCAACATGAGTTGAACCATCTTTAGTTGGGGATGTCTGTACTTGAAGGAGACTCCACTGGCAGGTGTCTTTCAGGGGCTTACATCATTGCCACTTTACTTCTTCCCTTGAGTACCCTGAGGAAGTATGTTGGACTGGAGAGTAGGCACTTATGGAAGGTGTGAGAGGCCACGAACCAGCCCAGGTTTAGTCTGATGTGTCTGTGATGCATTTTAGCAGCTCTCTTTAAATGTTCCCTCTGTTTCTTATATTTCTGAAGTGATGTGCACACAGAAGAGAGAGCCTTAAAGAACAGATACAGATGTAGTTTTAAGAAAGAAAAAAGAGGGCTGGGGCTGTAGCTCAGTGGCAGAGCGCTTGCCTGGCATGTGTGAGGCACTGGGTTCGATCCTTAGCACCACATATAAATAAACAAAATAAAGGCATTCTGTTTTACAACTACAAAAATATATATATTTTTAAAAAGAAAAAGAATAGATGTAATGAAAAATACAACTGGATTGTATATTTCATAATGCGCTAGATGTAGTTCATAAATAAACTTTGGTTTGCTATTTGAAAAAAAATTGGGGCTGGGGATGTGGCTCAGGTGGTAGCGCGCTCGCCTGGCATGCGTGCGGCCCGGGTTCGATCCTCAGCACCACATACAAAGATGTTGTGTCCGCCGAGAACTAAAAAATAAATATTAAAATTCTTTCTCTCTCTCTCCCTCTCTCACTCTCTCTTTAAAAAAAATTGAATAGTTAGGTACATTTTTGAGAAGAACCAGATTGAGATTTAGAACCAAAAGGAAGGAATTCATTAAATTATAGCTAGAAATAATTTGTTCTATTCTGTTGGAGTTCTCTCCATCTTCAGAACCAAAAAATGATTGAAGGTAGAAAGAAGAAAGGAAGGGAGAGGGGAAAGAAGCGGGGAAGGAGGAAAGAAGAAAGGAGAGCCTGAATTGAGTGGTATTTTAGGAATGGCAGATGCTGCTGTGATAATGAGTCCTTGACTTGCATATATGCCTGTTGGGCCATAACTTTTGTTATCTTGCAGTGTTTATCATAATCCTTCCCAGGATGACTTCATTCTAGAGAGCTGTTGTTACTAAAATATTTCATTGCATAGTGGTTTTAATCTTCATTTTATAAGAAAAATTAAATAGATCTTTTCTTCATTGAGTAATTCAGTATGATGCAAGTGAGGCATCTAGATACCTAAAAGTATCAAAAGTCTGTTGTGGTACTCAGTCTCTGTCCCAGGAGCTTAATTTGAAAGAGTTACCTTAAAAATCATAGTTTCTGTACATTAATATGACAGCTTGGCCTTTATTATATCAAAGTTTCAAAAGGACTTAGTGGTAGGTGCTTAGCAAGGTAAGCTACCCGCCTGTACATCATCACTTCCGAGTCAGGTGTTTAGATTGGTGGCTGTTTCTTTTCCCTAGCAATCTGGGTAGTGGGTTGGAGCATCTGGGTCAGGCTGGGTTCTAAATCTGCTGCCTGTCTGGGGAGGGGGGCATTCTCCCACACCTGCTTTCTATTCTGAAGACACCTGGAGATTGATGATCACTTCTGGGATCCTTTGTTAGCAGGATTGCAACAGTCAGCCTTGATGGTCTTTGCATGTGTTAAATAGGTCAAGAGTTTTCATTTCCCCGTCACTTCTAATATTAGTCTTCAATTCCAGAGCACAAACAAGAATGGTTTCTGGGTTTTTACCCTAGAATATTTTTTATGTGTCTGTGATACAACATAGATGAAAATAAAGAAATAATTCTTTATATTTCCCATTATAAATATACTAAATTCTGTATCATTTCAATGTCATATAAATCCCTTTAATATTTATAACTATTCCATAGATATTCATAATACACCCTTATCCCATTCCTTCTTATTTCTCTGTGACTCCAAATAGCATACCATTTCCAGTGGTGTTAAAATTGATACATCATTGGTCTGATCAGTTTCTGCTTAGTATCATTGTGTCTTCTAATTACTACCCCTCCCCTCTAATACTAAGATTAAACTCATTGATTTCTTAAACAGAGTTGTGCTCAGTCAAATACATTAATGATACCTTCTGCAAGTTTTTTTTGAGAAATGCTCAATAAACTTGTATTTTGTCAAATGGCTATTGTTTATTTGCCAACATTGTATCAGTTTATATGTATTAAATTGCAAGTTAAAGAAAAACTGTTCCATAGTGACTTATATGAAGCATAAACATTGGCTGGTGTAGCTGAAAGACCAGCAACAGGGCATCTGTATTGCAGCTCAACAATGCCAATAAAAATTTGGCTTCCTTCTTTCTATCTTGCTGTCTGCAGTCCCAGTTTCCTCTTACAAGGGCAAAGTGGTTGCAAGCCATTCCATATTCATACGCTTTCTTACTGATATCCAGTGATGTTTGACAGCCTGCCCTGAAAACCTTTCTTGTGCCCATTGATATTAATACACTGTGTGCCCCTGTTTTGTGCCAGCAACTGTAGCTGGCGATAGGATTGTCTGAGTAGCTCAGACTGAGAGTCAGCTTTCCCAAGTGGGTAGGGCTGTGGGAGGAGATAGAGAAACCCCAACAGGAAGTGGGTAACAGGAGGAAATGGTTGAAAGGTGATAGCCACATCATTCACTATGCCATGTGTTTGGATGTCATTCCATTATAAAAGTTCTTGCTTTTCTGGGGTTTTTCTTCATTTTTTTCCTTCTGTCTTTAGGGGCTGTTTCAACAACCAAACGGACAGGCATTCCAGCTCCCCGAGAACTCTCAGTAACTGTCTCAAGAGAGAGGTCTGTGCCACGTGGTCCCTCCAACCCAAGGAAATCTGGGTCCAGTCCAACTTCCTCCTGTACCCCGACCCCTACCAAGCACCTGAGGACCACTTCAGCAAAATCCAAGCAAGAGAATGAAGGTGGAGAAAAAGCTGTTCTTGAGTCTCAAGTTCGGGAACTTCTGGCAGAAGCCAAAGCCAAAGACAGTGAAATCAACAGGCTTCGAAGTGAACTAAAGAAATGTAAGGAGAGAAGGGCCCTGAGCACTGAGGGGACTGATGCTTCGGACCCAAGTGTTGATGGGATATCAGCCCCACCAGGTGACACAGAAGCTTTATTAAGAGCCCTTGAGGAGAAGAACAAAATCTTTCAGAAAGAGCTTGCTGACCTAGAGGAAGAAAATAGGGCCTTGAAGGAGAAACTGACTTACCTCGAGCAGTCACCAAATTCTGAAGGGGTAGCAAGTCACATTGGTGACAGCAGCTGCCCAACATCCATAACTCAAGAGTCAAGCTTTGGAAGTCCAACTGGAAATGAGCTGTCAAGTGAAATTGAAGAGTATAAAAAAAACACACATGGAAATACACTGCGGACATCAGGGTCCTCGAGCAGCGATGTTACCAAAGCTTCCTTGTCACCAGATGCCTCTGATTTTGAGCACATCACTGCAGATACCCCGTCTCGGCCCTTGTCCTCCACTAGCAACCCTTTTAAGAGCTCCAAGTGTTCCCCTACTGGGAGTTCCCCAAATAACGCCAGCGAGCTGTCCCTGGCTTCCCTCACAGAGAAGATACACAAGATGGAAGAAAATCAGCACAGCACTGCAGAAGAGCTGCAGGCTACTCTGCAAGAGTTATCAGACCAGCAGCAAATGGTGCAGGAACTGACAGCTGAGAACGAGAAACTGGTGGACGAGAAGACGATTTTAGAGACATCATTTCACCAGCATCGAGAAAGGGCAGAGCAGCTAAGTCAAGAAAATGAGAAACTGATAAACCTTTTACAAGAGCGAGTGAAGAATGAAGAGCCCAATGCCCAAGGAGGAAAAATCCTGGAGCTGGAGCAGAAGTGCACAGATATTCTTGAGAAGAGCCGCTTTGAAAGAGAGAAGTTGCTCAATATTCAGCAGCAGTTGACCTGTAGCTTACGGAAGGTTGAGGAAGAAAACCAAGGAGCTTTAGACACGATTAAGCACCTAAAGGAAGAAAATGAAAAACTTAATGGGTTTCTAGAACTAGAGCGGTGTAATAATAGTGTGATGGCCAAAACTTTGGAAGAATGTAGAGTTACCTTGGAAGGCTTGAAGACGGAGAATGGGTCCTTGAAGTCTCATTTGGAGGGAGAAAAGCAAAAAACTATGGAGACCAGTAGTAGTACCCTGGGGCAGACAGCAGAGAACTGTAAAGTCCAGGAAATGTTGGAAGTGGCTCGAGCTGAAAAAGATCAACTGGAACTGTCTTGCACAGAGCTCAGACAAGAATTGCTAAAGGCAAATGGTGAAATTAAACATGTTTCAAGCCTGCTAGCCAAGGTAAGAATAGGTGTCGCTTACCTGGTATTTGTTCATCCTTACTAACGTTTCTCTCCTTGACCTTAAAGTTGCAAAGAGAATCATTTGTTCTGTTACTTTCATTCATGAACCTAGCATTCTAAATGCTTGAAGATCTGTGATTCCAGATGGACTGGTATTGAGATTCAAAAGGAAATACCCAAATTTCTGACTACAGGCAGTTGAAAGGATAATGGGGATATAGTAAATCACATCAAATGGCAGGATGTATTGATAAAGAATTTCATAGGGCTGGGGAATGTAGTTCAATGGTAGATGCTTCCTTAGCATGCATGAGGCCCTGGTTTCCATCGCATACCGAAGGAAAAAAAGTTTCTGCTGAGGCTGCAGTCTAGTGCAGAGGAGGGACACGAGAATAATATGGGAGGGGGGCAGGGCAGGAGTAGTGCAGAAGTAGTACTTCCTGGAAAAGTGACACCTAAGCTGAGGCTTGACGATTGAGTTATCTAAGTCTATCATCATGAGTTTAGCTATTAGTAACAGTTAAAATTGTCCCCAATTTTCCCAGCAAGAAATGATACAGCCACGGGCTGGGGTTGTGGCTCAGTGGTAGAATGCTCACCTAGTATGGGTGAGGCACTGGGTTCAATCCTCAAACCCACATAAACATAAATAAATAAAAATAAAGGCATTGTGTTCACCTACACCTAAAAAAATATTTAAAAAATAATACAACCACTATTTTAATATTTTCTTCCAAATATATATATGCATATATCATGAATTTTAAAAAAATTAAGGGCTGGGGGCATAGGTCAATGATAGAATGCATGAGACCCTGGGCTTTCATCTTCAGCACTGTAGAAAATAACATTTAGAACCATCCTGCACATGTTATTAACTTTTCTTTGTTGCACTTAACATTTTCTGAGCATATTCTCCCCATCAATTATTCTTTTAGGTATTATTTTAAATACCAGATAGTACTTTATTATATAACTATCTTATATTCACTAGTCCTGTGTTATTAAACATATGTGTTTTATTGGATATTTTTTTTTCTGGTCTTTCACTAGTGTAAATACATTTTTTTGTCTCTCTCTGATTATTTCTTCAGGAAAAATTCCTAGACGTTGACTTGGTGAGTCAGAGAGTATAAACATTTTAAAGACTTTCAACACATTCAGCCAGATTGCCCTCCAGAAATATTATGCCAATCTGTTCCCACGAGCAGTTCATGAGAGCACTTGTTTCCCTGAGCCCTTGCCAACACTTGGTATTAAATTATGTCATTCAAATCTGTTAATCATTTCCTTTAAAAATATTTTATTTTTACCTTTTTAATTTAGAAAGATCTTCTATAGCCCAAGATCAAATAAATGATCACTTCATTCATTTTCAAGTGACCTTTTGATTGTTCTGGAATTTTCTTATGTGATACAAGATTGATAATAATTGTAGATAGTCTGCCTACCCCACAGGGTAGGTGCAGAGAGATGACTTCCTGTTTCTGTCTTCATCAAGCTCTTGGGTCTGTGAATTAGGGGTCTGCTGGGGAGCGAGGATAAAAACCCTTTTCACTTTATGTGGGGGTTTATCACTGTTGCAAGCAGCAATTTGTGCTGTAAGCTCTTAGGCAGACTTTTCTGCATCGCTTCATCTGTCTTGAGACCTGTCAGTCTCATCCTGATTCTGCAGTTGGGCTTTCTGATGGTCATTGTAGTATGTTGTGTTAGGAGTTTTTACCATTGTCTTTGTTCTAAATTCATAAGTATTTTATTGAAAACACAGGATTAGAATTTGAGGTTACTAGCCAGGTACTCATTTAATTATAGCTAGATAAATGAAGCTTTGCATTGTCACCCAGTAGAATATTTATCTATTTTGCTTAAAGATTACTGAGTACTCTTTTACAAAATATTTAGTCTCCCAAAAGACTTTTTTTTTTAAAGGTTTTTTTTTTTTTTTGTAGTTGTAGATAGACAGAATGCCTTTATTTTATTTGTTTATTTTTGTGTGGTATTGAGGATCAAATCCAGTGCCACTGAGCTACAGCCCCAGCACTACCACCCCCAAGGACTTTTTGTATGTGTTTGTGTGTGCTGCTGGAGATTAAACCCAGGGCCTTGTGCATGTGAGGCAAGCACTCTACCAATTGAGCTGTATCCCCAGCCCTCAAAGAGCATTTTTCAAGTCCTCTTTTAGTCCTTCTTTGTTCTCTTTGGTATTTTGATTGGTATCTCACTGAATATATGTATCAGTGAGAAATATTTTGGTATCTTAAAAATAGCTTACTTCTTATCATAAAATATTTATTATAGAAGATTTAGAAAATACAGAAAAGTATAAAAAGTGACCTTTATAACCTCTAATAATCTAAATATGAGGCTGGGGTTGTAGCTCAGTGGTAGAGTAGTTGCCTGGCAAGTGTGAGATACTGGATTCAATCCTCAGCACCACATAAAAATAAGTAAATAAAAATAAAGGTATTGTGTCCATTTACAACTAAAATAAATAAATAACCTTATTATCACATCTTGAAGAAAAAACTATCAACATTTTTTGTGTGTCCTTTACAAGTTTGTTTATGCATACAAACCTGTATTGACAGCGTTTTATTTAATCTTTCTGCCAAAAAAGAATAGAGTATATCTTTCATTAATACAGTGATCCCCATTAGATTTGTTTATAGAATCTATTTCTGATTTATACATTTCTTTTATCTTTTAAAATTCTTTTATATCCCTTTTTATACATTTTTGTTTGTTTTCTTCCTAGCTTCTTAAGTAAAATTCTTCATTTAACTTTGTTCTTTCTTTAAAGTCATGAATTTTTTGCTTTCATGTGATTTTGGCTAAATAATGACAATAAAATGTAGAATTTTCTGGTATAAACTTAATATGATATGGAGGAAAAGGCAAGTATTTGCATTCTCTGTAGAATATAAGGCACAAGATATATATATTTAATATCAAGTTATTATAAATGTTATAAAATCAAGCTGTTATTTATATATTCCATATCTTATTTCTGGCTAACTAAAGTTATCAAATTCTAATGGAAGATGAAAAAGATTTTAGCCAGTGTTGAGGTGAAAGTCTGAGGTAAAAGATGAGATATGATGCCACAAAAGGTTTCTTTATACCTATCAAGACCTCAGGTCTATGATTTTGCACTGTTGTTTGCAAAGACATTGATTTGTAATGGCAGTGAATCTGTAACTTAATCTTCCTGCTGTTTTATATTAACATAGAAAAAGTATGCTCCATACCTATGGAAGAGACCATCTCTGTTTTCTGTTGCTTTAACAGAACATCTGAGACTAGGTAATTTATAAAGAAAAAAGCTTTATTTTGGCTCTTGGTTCTAGAGGCTGGAAAATCTAAAACCAGGTGGTCAAATCTGGTGTGGGCCATGTTATGCTTCAACTTACAGTGGAAAATTGGAAGGAGAAGCTCTGCATTTGGAAGATGGACGGTGTGTGAGAGAGTGAGGGGAGATGTCAGGCTTAGTTGGTAACAATCTCCTGTCAAGGTCACCAGTCTAGTTTCAGGAGCATGAGAGTTCCCATGAGACTGCATTCATCCGTTTATAGGGATAGAGCCCCCCAAACCTAATCACCTGTTAGAGGCCCCATCCCCCAATCCCACTACATTGGGAATCAAATTTCATTGTGAGTTTTGGTGGGTACACACTATATCCAAACCATAGTAGCTTATTGTATCCCCACTGTAGAATATCAGCTAATCCATCGGCAATTGTGAATTCAAATGATGTTGCTTAAGCGACCCATGCCTTAAGGATAACAGGAACAGTTTTAGCACAGAATTAAAGATATAAGTGTTAGACTGGGTCTTCCTGACTTGCCCAGTGACAAGTCTTATGACCTCAGGCAGGCCTCTTTCCATCCACAGTGTTGAGCAGAAGTATGATGGTGGGTGTATTCTGGTTTTGTGCCAAAAATGAAGCATTTAACATTTCATCATTAATTATTTTTGTTGTAGACATTTGGTACATAACCTGTATTATGTTATTGTAAGTGTTTTGATAAGTCGTGTCTGATTTTTAAATAAAGGATAAGGGTTAAATTCTTTCTGTATCTACTGACATCTATTTTTGTGCCATCACATTGCTTTTTTCTCCTTTATTTTGTTACAGAGGTGAATTACAATAACAGATTCTCTAAGGTAGTTAGTCCTATGTTAAGTCATCTTGGCATTCCTGGAGTGAATCCTAATTCTTCAGTGCTCATCATTTCGCTTGACATTTTTGCCCAGAATCTTCACATATGATGACTTTAAGCAGCTGCCAGAGTGGACTGTTCTATTTATCACTGAGCAGACTGTTTGGTGATCAGTACTTTATCCCTTGAGCATCATATTCATCCACTCTAATTCTTGGCAGAAGAAGTAGATCCGATAAAAGAATAAAGTCGTGTATTTACAAAGGGGAAAAGCAATATCAACCCACCCTACAATCTAATAGTTAACAGATTTACCTCACCTGATAGATTTAATAGAGTTAGTGAATCTATAAGAGAAATTCAAATATGTTACTTAATGACTCAAAAGAATCTCTGAAGTCTTCAAATGTACTTCTTTTTGGATAGTATATAGTACTTTTCCTTGTGAAATAAATAGAAAGTTAGTAGAATTTTATAATAACTATGTTTTTGTTTCATAGGATTTTTCTTCCTTGTATTTATTTGTCTTAGCAGTTCACTAATAATATCTCCATTCTTTTTTTTTTTTTTTTTTTTTGTGGTGCTGGGGATTGAACCCAGGAATTTATACATGCAAGGCAAGCACTCTACCAACTCGCCATATCCCCAACCCCAATATCTCCGTTCTTTTCATTTTCTCTGGTAGATTCCCTGTACATTTTTCTGGCAGCTTATGTAAGACACTTCTGTATAATTTTGAAAAAGGGTGTGATGTCTACAGGACCCCAAAGCCTCAGCTTCCTGTGAGGCATTTAGGTACCCAGGTAGCCCCTGTAGCCAGATAACAGCTTGTAGTTAT